AATCCGCGATTGAGTGGACGGTGACAAAATCACCGTTTTTGCTCTTTGTCCCCCGCCCAGGTGACCCAGACGAGCCGGCCGGATCTCATCCTGTTCCTGATGAAGTATCTGATGGCGCTGGTGGTGGGGATCCCGTCGGTTTTTTGGGTGGGGAGCAAGAAGACGTGTTTCGAGTGGGCCAGCTTCTTCCACGGGCGCCGGAAAAAAGAGTGAGTGAGTGAGGGCGGGATCCGTGAGGGAGAGGGTCCTGGGGGAGGGGTGGGGTGGGGTTTGAGTTCAGGAGCAGGTTTGGGTTGGTTTTTCTGTTCTGGAAAAGGGTTTGGGTTGGTTTTTTAATCCTGGAAAAGGGTTTGGGTTGGTTTTTCTATTCTGGAGGAGGTTTGGGTTGGTTTTTCAGTCCTGGACCAGGTTTGGGTTGGTTTTTGAGTTCTGGAAAAGTGTTTGGGTCAGTTTTTCTGTTCTGGAGCAGGTTTGGGTCCATTTTTCAATCCTGCAGAAGGATTGGGTTGGTTTTTCAGTTCTGGAGGAGGGTTTGGGTTGGTTTTTCAATCCTGGAGGAGGTTTGGGTTGGTTTTTCTGTCCTGGAGCAGGGTTGGGTTGGTTTTTCAATCCTGGAAGAGGTTTGGGTCGGTTTTTCAGTCTGAGTTGGTTTTTGAGCTCTGGAGGAGAGTTTGGGTTGGTTTTTTTTCAGTCCTGGAGGAGAGTTTGGGTTGTTTTTTCAATCCTGGAGCAGGTTTGGGTTGGTTTTTCAGTCCTGGAGGAGGATCTGGGTTGTTTTTTGAGTCCTGGGGGAGGGTTGGGTTGGTTTTTCTGTTCTGGAGAAGGGTTGGGTTGGTTTTTGACTCCTGGAACAGATGTGGGTTGTTTTCTGTTCTGGAGGAGGTTTGGGTTGGTTTTTCTGTTCTGGAAGGGGTTTGGGTTGGTTTTTGAGTTCTGGAGGATGTTTGGGTTGTTTTTTCAGTTCTGGAAGAGGTTTGGGTCGGTTTTTCTGTTCTGGAGGAGGGTTGGGTTGGTTTTTCAGTCTCGGCTGTTTTTTCTGTCCTGGAGGAGGTTTTGGCTGGTTTTTCAGTCCTGGAGGAGGTTTGGGTTGGTTTTTCAGTCCTGGAGGAGGTTTGGGTTGGTTTTTCAGTCCTGTAGAAGGTTTGGGTTGGTTTTTCTGTTCTGGAGGAGGTTTGGGTCGGTTTGTGAGTCCTGGAGGAGGGTCTGGGTTGGTTTTTCAACCCTGGAAAGGGTTTGCGTTGGTTTTTCAGTCCTGGAAGAGGATTTGGGTTGGTTTTTCTGTTCTGGAGGAGGTTTGGGTTGGTTTTTTAATCGTGGAGGAGGTTTGGGTCCATTTTTCAATCCTGGAAGAGTGTTTCGGATGGCTTTTCAGTCCTGGAGGAGGGTTGGGTTCATTTTTCAATCCTGGAGCAGGTTTGGGTTGGTTTTTTAATCCTGGAGGAGGTTTGGGTCCATTTTTCAATCCTGGAGAAGGATTGGGTTGGTTTTTCTGTTCTGGAGGAGGGTCTGGGTTGGTTTTTCAGTCTGAGTTGTTTTTTAGCCCTGGAGAAGGTTTAGGTATTTTTTTTTCAGTCCTGGAGCAGGTTTGGGTTGGTTTTTGAGTTCTGGAAAAGTGTTTGGGTCAGTTTTTCCGTTCTGGAGGAGGTTTGGGCTGGTTTTTCAGTCCTGGAGCAGGTTTGGGTTGGTTTTTGAGTCCTGGAGAAGGGTTTGGGTTGGTTTTTCAGTTCTGGAGCAGGTTTGGGTTGGTTTTTCAGTCTGAGTTGGTTTTTCAATCCTGGAGGAGGTTTGGGTTGGTTTTTCAGTCCTGGAGAAGGTTTGGGTTGGTTTTTCAGTCTGAGTCAGTTTTTCAATATTGGAGGAGGTTTAGGTCAGTTTTTCAGTTCTGGAGGAGAGTTTGGGTTGTTTTTTTTTCAGTCCTGGAGGAAGTTTGGTTTGGGTTTTTTTCAGTCCTGGAGGAGGTTTGGGTCCATTTTTCAGTCCTGGAGAAGGATTGGGTTGGTTTTTCAGTCCTGGAGGAGGTTTGGATTGATTTTCCACTCCTGAAGAAGCGTTTGGGTTGGCTTTTCAGTCTGAGTTGGTTTTTCAGTCCTGGAGGACGGTTTGGGCCGGTTTTTCAGTCCTGGAGCAGGTTTAGGTTGGTTTTTGACTCCTGGAAGAGGTGTGGGTTGGTTTTTCAGTCCTGGAGGAAGTTTGGGTCCATTTTTCAATCCTGGAGCAGGTTTGGGTTGGTTTTTCTGTTCTGGAAGAGGGTTGCGTTGGTTTTTTTCAATCCTGGAGGAGAGTTCGGGTTGTTGTTTTTTTTTCAGTCCTGGAGCAGGTTTGGGTTGGTTTTTCAGTCCTGGAGCAGGTTTGGGTCCATTTTTCAATCCTGGAGAAGGGATTGGGTTGTTTTTTTAATCCTGGGGGAGGGTTGGGTTGGTTTTTCAGTTCTGGAAGAGGGTTTGGGTTGGTTTTTCAGACTGAGTTGGTTTTTTAATCCTGGAAAAGGGTTTGGGTTGGTTTTTCAGTTCTGGAGGAGGTTTGGGTCGGTTTTTCAGTTCTGGAGGAGAGTTTGGGTTGGTTTTTCTATTGTGGAGGAGGTTTGGGTCAGTTTTTCAGTCCTGGAGCAGGGTTGGGTTGGTTTTTTAATCCTGGAGGAGGGTTTGGGCCCATTTTTCAATCCTGGAGCAGGTTTGGGTTGGTTTTTCTGTCCTGGAGCAGGTTTGGGTTGGTTTTTGAGTCCTGGAACAGGTGTGGGTTGGTTTTTCAGTTCTGTAAGAGGTTTGGGTTGGCTTCTCAGACCTGGAAGAGGTTTGGGTTGGTTTTTCAGTTCTGGAGAAGAGTTTCAGTTGGTTTTTCAGTTCTGGAGGAGGTTTGGGTTGGTTTTTCAGTCTGAGTTGTTTTTTAGCCCTGGAGAAGGTTTGGGTATTTATTTTTTCAGTCCTGGAGCAGGTTTGGGTTGGTTTTTCAATCCTGTATAAGGTTTGGGTTGGTTTTTCCATTCTGGAGGAGGTTTGGGTCGGTTTTCCAGTCTGGGTTGGTTTTTCAGTTCTGGAGGAGGGTTGGGTCCATTTTTTAATCCTGGAGATGGTTTGGGTTGTTTTTTGAGTCCTGGGGGAGGTTTGGGTTGGTTTTTCAATCCTGGAAAAGGGTTTGGGTTGGTTTTTCAGTCCTGGAAGAGGATCTGGGTTGTTTTTTGGGGCCTGGGGGAGGGTTGGGGTACGGCTTGAGTCCTGGGGAGGTTTGGGTTGGTTTTTCAGTCCTGGGGGAGGTTTGGGTTGGTTTTTGAGTTCTGGGGAAGGGATTGGGCTGGTTTTTCTGTTCTGGAGGAGGTTTGGGTCCATTTTTCAATCCTGGAGACAGTTTGGGTTGGTTTTTGAGTTCTGGAGCAGGTTTGGGTTGGTTTTTGAATTCTGGAACAGGTGTGGGTTGGTTCTTCAGTCCTGGAGAAGGGATTGGGTTGGTTTCTCAGTTCTGGAAGAGGTTTGGGTTGGTTTTTCAGTCTGAGTTGGTTTTTTGCCCTGGAGCAGTTTTGGGTTGGTTTTCTGTTTTGGAGTAGGTTTGGGTTGGTTTTTCAATCCTGGAGAAGGGATTGGGCTGATTCTTCAATCCTGGAGGAGGTCTGGGTTGGTTTTTGAGTCCTGGAAGAGGTTTGGATTGGTTTTTCTATTCTGAGTTGGTTTTCCATTCCTGGAGCAGTTTTGGGTTGGTTTTTCAGTCTGAGTTGTTTTTTCAATCCTGGAGGAGGTTTGGCTCCATTTTTCAATCCTGGATGAGGGTTGGGTTGGTTTTTCATGGAGGCAAAGGTGTGAATGGATGGAAAAATCATGTTCAGAAAGGAGCAAGGAAGGACAGGACASCCCAGAGCTCCAAAAATTTCTTTTATTTCCCCAATTATTCTTCTTTGGTCCCAGAATCAAATCCATCTGCCTGAAAAGTATTTTTTAACAACAATCAGATGTCAAATGAATGCTACAACCCCTCTGCCTCTTACTGAGGRGTGGAATTGAAACTTTTTATTCATAAATGCGCAGCTTTTCARCTGAATCAGAGCTTTAAATTGAAATTAAACGCAGGTTCTTCTCACTTTGCAGCTAAAAGCTTTTAATCCTCTTTATGTATTCAGGTAAAGTGACAGAGAGAATTCCCTGGAGCTTCTGAAAGGGTGAAATTGGTTTGGATTAAAGTGAGGATCAATTTAGAGCCAATCTGGTGGCCACGAGTCGTGATTTCCATGATAAATGTTGTCTTTTAAGATGTTTTAAAATATTTTCAGTGATTTTTTGGGCCATCTTTAGAGAGCTCAGAGCCTCTTTTATTTTATTATTTATTTTATAAAACAAGGGTTTTATTTTAGCCTTGAGCAGGAAGAGGCGGAGCCGACTCAAATCTCCCTCCTCAGCTGCCTGGAATTGTCTGGGAGAAAAAAAATTGGGAGGAGGAGCCGGCCGGGCTCAGGAAAACACAGAGGATGGGAGAGGAGGAGGAGACCCCCACAAAATAAAATAAAATAAAATAAAATAAAATAAAATAAAATAAAATAAAATAAAATAAAATAAAATAAAATAAAATAAATAAATTAAAGAGAATTACATCCCGGCCGCACCCGTTTGATCAGCGCGCCGTGCTCTGGCAGCCGAGCGTGCCACGGTGGCCACGGAGCCGGGGCTGGCACAATGAGAGCCTTGTGAGCCACAGCCCATCCTCCTGCTGCTGCTCTGATCCCGATTTTCAATGGGATTGGGAGGAGGAGGGGGCTCCCCGTGATCCCTGAGGGGAATTTTCCTGGGGATCTGAGCAAATCTGAGCAAACGCAAAGTGCTCCCTGCACGCGTTCAGGAAGGGAGGAGGATTCCAGAAATTAATGGATTTTTGAATTTATAAATATTCTAAAATAGCCCGATGCTTCAAAAATAGGCAAATGAGGGCATTCAAATGTAAAGAATGGTTTTCCATGAGGGGCATTTTCCTGGAAATCTGAGCAAATCCGAGCAAACGCAAAGGGCTCCTTGCACATGTGCAGGGAGGGGGGAAGCATTCCAGAAATTCAAGGATTTTTGAATTTCTAAATATTCTAAAATTGCCAGATGTAGAAGTGCTTCAAAATTAGGCAAATGAGGGCGTTCAAATGTAAATAACGGTTTTTCCTGAGGGGCATTTTCCTGAAAATCTGAGCAAATCCGGACGATATTCATGCACTGAGCTCCCCGCACGCGTCCAGGGAGGAAAAAAGATTCCAGAAATTCAAGGATTTTTGAATTTCTAAATATCCTAAAATAGCCACATGTAGAGGTGCTTCAAAATCAAGCAAATGAGGGCGTTCAAATGTTAATAACCCTTTTCCCTGAGGGGCATTTTCCTGGGAATCTGAATAAATCCGAGCAATATTCGCAAACTGAGTGAACCCCAAGTATTCCCTGCACGCGCCGAGGGAGGAGGAAGAATTCCAGAAATTGAAGGATTTTTGAATTTCTAAATATTCTAAAATAGCCAGATGTAGAGGTGCTTTGAAATTAGGCAAATTAGGGTGTTCAAATGTAAATAAAGGTTTTTCCTGAGGGGCATTTTCCTGAAAATCTGAGCAAATCTGAGCAAACGCAAAGTGCTCCCTGCACACGTTCAGAGAGGGGGAAGGATTCCAGAAATTCAAGGATTTTTGAATTTCTAAATATTCTAAAATAACCAGATGTAGAAGTGCTTCAAAATTAGGCAAAAGAGGGCATTCAAATATAAACAACGATTTTCCCTGAGGGGCATTTTCCTGGGAATCTGAACAAATCCAAGCAATATTCGCACACCGAGCAAATGCACGCATCCAGGGAAGGGGAAGGATTCAAAAAATTCAAGGATTTTTGAATTTCTAAATATTCTAAAATAGCCACATGTAGAGGTGCTTCAAGATTAAGCAAATGAGGGTGTTCACATTTGTTTTCGGAGGGGCATTTTCCGGAAAATCTGAGCAAATCCAAGCAAACACCAAGTGTTCCCCGCACGCGTCCAGGGAGGGGGAAGAATTCCAGAAATTCAAGGATTTGAATTTCTAAATATTCTAAAATTGCCAGATGTAGAGGTGCCTCAAAATAAGGGAAATGAGGGCATTCAAATATAAATAAATGGTTTTCCCTGAGGGGCAAATGTTTTCCCCTGAGGGGCATTTTCCTGAAAATCTGAGCAAATCCGAGCAATATTCGCAAACCGAGCGAACACCAAGTGTTCCCTGCACGTATCCAGGGAGGGGGAAGGATTCCAGAAATTCAAGGATTTTTGAATTTCTAAATATCCTAAAATAACCACATGTAGAAGTGCTTCAAAATTAGTCAAATGAGGGAAGTTCAAATACAAACACCGCTTTTGTTTTCCCGAGCAGCGCCGCTCGCTCTGTTCGTACAACACCCCCAGCGCCGCCGTCGCTTTTCTGCTCTAATTAACGTTAATTATCCCAACGGCTTTTCCCCCGCTCTCCTCAGAGTCGTCAACGAGAGCCGCCAAGTGCTGCAGGARCCGGACTTTGCTCAGTCGCTGCTGAGGGACCCCAACACTCCCATCATCCGTAAATCGCGGGGCACGTCCACGCAGGGCACGTCCACCCACGCCTCGTCCACYCAGCTGGCCATGCTGGACGAGCAGCGCAGCAAAGCCGGCAGCGTCCACAGCAAAGTCAGCAGCTACCACGGCAGCCTGCACCGCTCGCGGGACGGACGGTACGAGACGCCCCGAAAACGGCCCCAAAAACGGCCCCAAAAACGGCCCCAAAAACGGCCCCGAACTCTGGGGGCACGAGAAATTATGTGCCCCATTCTGTTTCATTTTTAGGAATTTAGTAAGGGACAATAGGGTACCCCAAATCTGGCCCCAAACTTCAGAGGTACCAGAAATTATGTACCCCATTCTGTTTAATTTTTAGGAGTTTAGTAAGGGACAATAGGGGCCCCAAACTTTGGGGGTGCAAGAAATTATGTCCCCGCTTCTGTTTAGTTTTTAGGAATTTAGTAAGGGACAATAGGGGACCCCCAAAACAGCCACAAACTTTGGGGGTGTGAGAAATGAGGTCCCCACTTCCATTTAATTTTTAGGAATTTAGTAAGGGGCAATAGGGGACCCCAAACGCAGCCCCAACTTTGGGGTGTGAGAAATTATGTCCCTCCTTCTGTTTAATATTTAGGAATTTAGTAAGGGGCAACAGGGGACTCCAAAAACAGCCACAAACTTTGGGGGTGCAAGAAATTATATCCCTCCTTCTGTTTAATATTTAGGAATTTAGTAAGGGACAATAGGGGACCCCAAGCCCGGCCCCAAAGTTTGGATGTGTGAGAAATTATGTGCCCCATTCCATTTAGTGTTTAGGAATTTAGTAAGGGACAATAGGGGACCCCAAAAACAGCCACAAACTTTGGGGGTGCGAGAAATTATATCCCTCCTTCTGTTTAATATTTAGGAATATAGTAAGGGACAATAGGGGACCCCAAACCCGGCCCCAAACTTTGGGGGTGCGAGAAATTATGTCCTCCCTTCTGTTGAAGTTTTAGGAATTTAATACGGGACAATAGGGGACCCAAACTTTGGGGGCACGAGAAATTATGTCCTCCATTCCGATAAATTTTTAGGAATTTAATAAGGAGCAATAGGGGACCAGAAACCCGGCCCCAAACTTTGGGGGTGCGAGAAATGATGTATCCCATTCCATTTAGTATTTAGGAGTTTAGTAAGAGACAATAGGGGACCCCAAACCCGGCCCCAAACCTTGGGCATGTGAGAAATGATGTACACCCTTCTGTTGAATTTTTAGGAGTTTAATAAGGGACAACAGGGGACCCCAAACCCGGCCCCAAACTTCGGATGTGCGAGAAATTATGTCCCTCCTTCTGTTTAATATTTAGGAATTTAGTAAGGGGACAATAGGGTACCCCAAACCCCAAATTTTGGGTGTGAGAAATTATGTCCCCACTTCTGTTGAAGTTTTAGGAGTTTAATAAGGGACAATAGGGGACCCCCAAAACAGCCACCAACTCTGGGGGTGCAAGAAATGAGGTTCTCCCTTCTGTTTAATATTTAGGAATTTAATAAGGGACAATAGGGGACTCCAAAACTGCCCCAAAGTTTGGGGGTGCGAGAAATGAGGTCCTCCCTTCTGTTTAATATTYAGGARTTTARTAAGGGACAATAGGRGACYCCAAAAMTGSCCMMAARYTTKGGGGTGTGAGAAATGATGTCCCTCCTTCTGTTTAATTTTTAGGAATTTAGTAAGGGACCCCAAACCTGGCCCCAAACTTTGGGGGTGCGAGAAATGATGTCCCTGCATTCCGATTAATTTTTAGGAATTTAATAAGAGACAGTAGGGGACCCCAAAAACAGCCACAAACTTTGGGGGTGCGAGAAATTATATCCCTCCTTCTGTTTAATATTTAGGAGTATAGTAAGGGACAATAGGGGACCCCAAAAATGGCCACAAACTTTGGGGTGTGAGAAATGATGTACCCCATTCCATTTAGTATTTAGGAATTAATTAAGGGGTAATAGGGGACCCCAAACCCGGCCCCAAAGTTTGGATGTGTGAGAAATTATGTACACCCTTCCGTTTAATATTTAGGAATTTTATAAGGGACAATAGGG